TTAAAATAATAATAATCAAAAATATGAATTATTTGTGAATTGTGCATGGATAGGCATGTTTGTTTATTGTTTGTTTGTTTCTATTTGTCCATTTTTTTTAACTTTGGACTCTTTATCATAAGAGATTGCAAGGACCCTACAATTCAATCCTGAGCTGCAAATATTCTCTTCTATCAAAGGTCATTAGTGGCAGGGACTTTTTTTTCTATGCCTGTGCTTAAGACAAACTGAAACAATAGAAACNCACTATGTCCTAAAAGCAAACCTTGCAATTTCTATATGAACAGTTAAAGCTTAATATCATGAAACCCTAGTCTGGTTCAGGCTTGAGACCTACCTTGGTTAGTGAGCCTTAATCTGCCACTGTAAGAAATCATTATTACACTAATGATAACCAATTTTATATTGTCACCAAAGACCAGGCAGGAGGTTCTGGGAATGTGTTGTCTCAGTGCCTGAAGGGCCTTAAGATAGGAATGGCACAAAACTGACTCAAAGCAATATGGACTCAAAATTGACTCAAAGCAATATGGAGTTGCTGTTTGTTTATTGAGGTTGATAGCTCTGCGAGATATCTCTTGAAGTGATGGCATGATCCTCAAAAATCAGGAATCTTGTTGAACTACAAAGACAGGTAGAAGCTATAGTAAGTCTCCCCCCCCCCCTATTTCTGACTGTGTTGGGTGCAAACAACCAGAATATTACTGAGAATGGGTCAAAGTTTATTGCTGATCACCGGTTTATAAGAATCTTGCCAGATTAAGAGTCATGGTGGTGCACTGGTTAGAATGCAGTAGTGCAGGCAACTTCTGGTGACTGCCAGCTGCCTGCAATTTGGCAGTTCAAATCTCCCCAGGCTCAAGGATGACTCAGCCTTCCATTTTTCCGAGGTCAGCAAAATGAGGACCCAGATTGCAATAGGCTGACTCTGAAAACTGCTTAGAGAGGACTGTAAAAGCACTGTGAAGTGGCATATAAGTCTAGATGCTTTTGCTATAGCTATTGTCCTTTCCTTGGGAAAAAGGCAAATATACACCTAAGGACTTGATCTCAATTGTTTTCTCCTGCAAACAGATTCTAAGCTGGACTGTCTTCTTATTCAACTTATCAGGGCCTCCTCTGTTTTAATCAGTGAGTTCCAACAAATCCTGGTGCATCAGTTGTTATCCTACTTAGATGGGAAATTTTCAGAACAATAAATTATCCCTTCATGGAGCTGCTCTTGAAGATTACCATCAACCTTCAATTAGTCCAGAATGCAGAAGTCCAGTTATTGTATGGCAGTCATCACTATGATCATATTACATATGTCCTTGAAGCCCTCCACTGGCCTCAATTATTTTCTAACACAATTTAAGTGTCTGGTTGTTATTTTTACAACCCCTATATAGTTCCGCACTGAAATATGTGAATTGCCTTCTGACCTGTCTGATTTATTTGTCCCAGGAGAAACTATTGGTAATTCTTCATTTCTGTGAGATAGATACCATGGAGGCAAGTCTACCAACAATGAATAGGAGAAAAAATAATAATCAGAAATATTGTATTGTACATACTTCTTAACTAAAATCATCTATCTATCTATCTATCTATCTATCTATCTATCTATCTATCTATCTATCTATCTATCTATCTATCTATCTATCTATCTATCTATNACGCCGCCTGTGGTTGGACATAAGCAAAGTACACAAAATTGCCTCTACAATGTCCTACCTGTAAACGACTGCTTCAGCTTCAACCACAATAATACACAGGCAAAAGTTTCATACAAACTCAAGGTGAACCGCTCCAAACTCGATTGCAGAAAATACAACTTCAGCAACAGAGTGGTCACCACCTGGAATGCTCTACCTGACTCCGTTGTTAGATCCTCAACCCCCCACAGCTTCAACCTTAAACTGTCTACCATGGACCCCATTCCTAAGAAGTCCTTTAAGAGGGCGTGCATAAGCGCACCAGTGTGCCTACTGTCCCTGTCTTACTGTCCCCATTTATCTGTATTTACTTCCTTTGTTCATGTTTATGTTCATACTTATACCTGTTACCTTGTACATGTTTGACAAACAAATAAGTAAAATAAAAATAGTAAAAATAATTAATCAATGCACATTTTATTATGCTAATTTAATTAGCTAATTCCCTTGCTATTTGACAAGCAAAATGTCACTTAGGTTACTTCTTATCAATTAGCATGTGATTATTAGTTATGTTCTGGTACTTGGAAATTGTTGCTATCCCTTTAAACTGAGTGTTTACAGAGCATCCTATGGACATTGGATAATTTTAGCAATATTATTTATAGTTATCTATATTTGAGAATACATGGAATGATTTGTTTCTTAATAAAAGTATAGATAAAATGACATATGTTTCACAATCCCATACCTGAATGCAGCAATGTGTCTTAATTATTGAGTGTTTTAGAAATCTCACTTAAGGTAATCAAATATTTCTTATCATTTTTTCTTTAGATAATTTATAGTTAGCACAGTGGTAGAAATGTTATAATGAAGCATTTTAACAGCCCTCCTAAGTCAGAATGTATTTGCAAAGTCAAAACAAGGCAAAAATCACTAGGTTTATTAAGGATCTAACACTAGAAAAAAGTTGGATGCCTTATGTAAACATTATTATTGTGGGAATAACATGATGTACACATAAAGTAAAAACAGTGAAGAACCTTGAACCCTAGAATGGGCTTTTAACGCTGATGTATCTACATCCACTGAGTTTAATGACTGAGTTCCATTCCAACTACCAAGTTGTTAAGTGAAATGATTGCTATGTGAAAAACATGGGAGGGAAAGAGAGAGGGGGAGGAGAGGAAATTGCTTCCTTCTCATTCAGATAAAGTCATTTTTATAGCTATGTCGATATTACTCTGTTCTGAATAGTATGTATTGTTGTCAGACTGGATCAGTTTTGAAGCAAAGTACAACTGCAGGCTGCCTCTACACAAGAAATGTGTATGTGCTGAGGATGACATCATTTGATCAAGCCCTAAGCCTGCCGGCAGCTAGTAGCTCACAAAAGCATCCTGAATAAAGATTTCAGTTCAGAAAGTAAAGAAATAATATTGCAAGCCTGCATTTGTTTCTGCACATCCTGTGTCTATCAGGGCAAAAAGGACCGGTAGAGGTGCTTTCAAATTCTTTGTGTGACAACAATGTCTTTTAATAGCATCCAAGATAAGAACTATAGACCGCATTACTTGACCTCTTTAAAACACCATTCTAAATGATGCAGAGTCTTCTACTTGGGGCGGGTGTTGGACTAGATGACCTACAAGATCGCTTCCAACCCTGTTTGTTTTGTTGTTCTAAATTCCTGTTAAATTAAAATTAATTTCCTACGTATTTTTCTTCTGATAAGCAAAAGGAGACAGAGCTTCTTTGGTACTAATCCTATTGTCAGTAAGATGTGGGATAAAAACTCAGATGTCTGTAACACTAACTCACTGATTCATGCTTTCCATTTACAAATATATGTGTCATAATTGATATCTATGTCCTCTACTTTCATTAATTTTAAAGACAGCATTGTTTAAATTTAATTGATAGCCCAAATGAAATATACATTTAAATGTTCCTTTATTATTCAGTTAGATTTTTGTAACAAATACAGATAAAAAGCATTTGATGACAATAAAATTTTTAAACTTATGATATCATGAGATAAATATCTTCGTAATTCACAGTATATACCAATGATGCCCAACCTTTTTGCCATCGCGTGCCAAAAGTGGGGGGAGTGCGGGGGGAGGCATGTACGTGCATGCCCACAGCAATAATTCTACGCACCTGCCCCCCACACATGCGTGTGCAACAACCTGCTTTTGGCATGCGATGGCACGGTGGACCCATTTTTTTACCCTCCCCAGGCTCCAGACTCTTTCTCTTCTCCCCTTCCCAGGAGGCCCTCCAGAGGTCGAAAACAGCCTGTTTGCCGACTTCTGGTCAGACTGTAATGTTTGTTTTTTTCTCTCCCCAGGCTCCAGAGGCTTTCGAGGAGCCTGGGGAGGGTGAAAATGGCTTCCCCCGCCCCCCCAGAGACCTTATGAAGGCCAGAAACGACCTGTTTTTGGACTTCTGGTTTGCGCATTGGGCTGTTTTTCACCCTTCGGAGAGTGAAAAACGGCCCAACACACAAACCGGAAGTTCAGGAATGGATTTCTGGGTTGCCTGTTGGGCCGTTTTTCTCCCTCCAGAGGCTTCAGGAAAGCCTCCTGAAGCCTCCAGAGGGTGAAAAATGGCCAAAAATCAAAGCCAAAATCAGCTGGCTAGTGCGGGCATCCACAGGGCAACGCCTCGCAGGCCCTCAGAAATGGCTCAGCGTGCCACCTGTGGCACTTATGCCATAAATTTGCCATCACTATTGACTAAATTTATTATTCATCCTACATGTTAAAGTAAGTTTCTTTTATATAAAAAATGTAGCTTATGTTTTGTGATATCAAATGTTGGTTTGCTCAACAAACTTATGATTAAAAATCATGGATTCTTGCAATGTAAGACTTTGGTTAAATTAGCTAGGATAAAGAAAAAAGCTTAAGATTTTTAATCATTACTGATGATTAATGAAAATAGGCTCTTTGCCAATAACATTAAGTAATAAATAAGAACCATAAGTGTCCTTTTGACCATGCAAGAATATTCTGCTAAGAGTTAAAATGTGGTGATTGGGCCATTCTTAGTCTCCCAATAGAAAAAGGTTTCCTACACTACCCAATTGTGATGGATCTGGGAATCATGCCAAAATTATTTAATCACCCTCTGAATGAACAGATCTTCAAAGACAATTCTTCATATATTGTAACATAGCACTGACGTTCATCACAAAAAATGTTTTAAAATTAACCATGATCAATCTTGCAAATATGTAAGTTATGTTTTAATGGGCTGTTAATGGAAATGAGGTATGGCTATAATTTATCAGTTTCATCAATATATTCTTCTAGAATATCAATGTTTTGTAGTCCACTTCAATGGTCTACTTACTTAACAGGCCAAAATTTGGACGAACATAGCTCCCATGTATATTCTGGCTTTGTCCCAGCTGCAATGAAACCAGTAATTAGCAAACCAGTAATTAACAAACCAGTAATTATCAATTAGCTGTTTTGTTCCAAATCAACAATGCAGTTACCAGCTTTGGAAGAAATCCTGATCTTAAAATAACTCAACTCTTGATTTTAAGATACTGCTTCCAATCATTTGTTATGTAAAAAAAATAGGAAACTATGGTTAATAAAGGAATCTCATTTAGGATAAATTGACGTGGGAACTGAACAATAAAGATGAATCAGAATATTATAAGATCTGGGACAAATTTTATTGATGGTTGGAAAAGAAAGACCCAAGATAAGCAATGACTAAGATTTATAGAATGGAGATTAGAATTATGTATGAAACTATAACAGTGAAAATGTATAAGATAAAAACAAAGCAACATGGTTGGAAATGCAATATTTTTTATATTTGTAAATATAAAAATAGACCAAATGTAAATAAGCATGGTGGTTATAATGTACAACTTTATATCATAGTATGTATTTTTTTT